ACATTTTTATTAAAAAATATTTTTCTGTCTCTCAGGAACTCACCTCAATATGCCTAAATGCTCACCTCAAATAGGCCTACATCTTTTATAGAAAGAGTTTCTGTTTATGTTATTTTTCAGGTGTCTGATAGTCTGTTGTCACTGCTCAACAAATGGGAAGAGAATTGGTGTCACATTGGCACCAAATAAGTGGGTGTCATAGCCACAGAAACAACAACGTGTCTTAGTCCAGCTCTGACCACGAGGCCATGGGCCACTGCTAGTCTTTTATCTCCTTTGTCATTTCCCTAAACAGATAGTATTTTCACCTTTGCAACAAGGTACATATATTTTTTAAAAGCTTAGATATCACTATTTTGGTGAAAACTGAAAAAGAACACAAAGTAAAACTCAGCTTTACAGAGCCAGCCAAACATTTTGGCGAAAGGACCCTAACCGGTTGTTGGTTGATGATTCGTTAAATGACCCAGTCTGCAGCCTGTGGGGACGAGGACACAGTGGTCCCCACAGGCTACAGACTGGAAAGAGCTTCCAGAGCCCTGTTTGCGGAGACGTGAAGACGCTCAAGCGCCAAGAGCTTCCTTTGTGAACGGGTTAGTGTCACATTCCAGCCTGTGGTTCAGATCTGCCTGTTCTCCTACCTCTTCCCAGTGAGGCTCCTCTGTGCCCTCTTGGGAGAAGTTCAGCTGAGTTCTCCCCTCTCCATGGAGGTTTGAATGTGTCACTAGCACGGACGGTGAGCATGCGGTCCCTGGGTCCCCTGTAGACAGACACCCACTTGTCACGTCAGGTTCTGCAAGCTGTCATGAGCGGTGAGGAGGTCCCAGTTTAAACTGAGGTTCTTTACTTAGCTCCTGCAGCACCCAGTTCCCAAACAGAGATGCACTGGCAAATGTATCCAGGGAGACCTTGCCTTTCAGAAGGTCACTGCAGAGAAAATCCCTCCGCAACTGCTCCATGCCGGGTTACTTTCGTCAGGTGCGACAGGAGAGCACCACGCACATGATTTCGTTTTAAAGAATTTTATTCTCTTTAATTTTTTTTAAATCTTCACTGAGAATATGTTTATTGATTTGCAAGAGAGGAAGCGGGGCAGGGGAAGAGAGACGCGTCGATGTGCGAGAAACATCCATCAGGCGCCTGCCGCCTGCACTCTGCCAGGAGTCGGACCCGCAGCCCTGCCGAGTGTGAGACAACGCTCCAGCCAACTACGCCACCCGGCAGGCCTCTTCACCTGCATTTTTTATAACAGAGCTTCCATTTCAGTCCTCTAAACCAGTATATTGATAACTGTGCGGTTGGTAAATTTTTGGGAATCTCTCTCAATGACAGTGTAGTTTTTTCCCGTGACAACGCAGCAAAAACATTGTCCCTGTATAACAGATTTTGATACCTAAGGAAGCATCCCTCAAAGTCACAGAAGCATTTGACCGCTGCCCTTTGACCTTGTTAAACAGACTGGTCCCCTGTCTCTTGCTCAGCCCCTCCCTCTCCTGCTCTGGAATAGGGGCGAGCACGAGACAGGCAAGAGCCACAATGCTCCCTGACCACGTTGTTTGGTGGGGTTAGCACTGCCCGGAGTGGCTGCTGAAGATCGCCGGTGACCCCAGTGATAGCCGGGGACAGGTGCTCTGCCAAGAATGGGGCGGTGGGTGGGGTCTGTGGGAAACACAGGGTTCAAGACAAAGAAGCACATCACCGTTGCTAGGCTCCACAGTGTCTGGAAACCCCGCCATGCGCTGCGGGCAGCAGTGCCCGCACAGTTACCTGAAATGTCCTCTGTCCAAACGAAGTGCTTCCCCTGAGAGACACTCAGCCGGGGCGGGGGCCTGGCCGGGCACAGAGGTGCAGGGGCGCCGGGCACCGCTGTGCTCAGGCCCGTCCTCCACTATGGGTCAGGAGGGAAGAGCCAGAGATGCCATGAAGGCTTTTGCTCTCGCAGCTGTTACTCAGCAGCGCTTTCCTGGGGAAAGGCTGGGCCAGGCAGCTGCGGAGCTGTGCTCCGCTGCCGCTGGTGACCTGGCTTGCACTTTGGGTGAGGCCTGGTGCCGACTAGCCTGGCTGTCCTTGTGGCCGCCTGACTTCTGAAAACTGTCGTTATTTTTAGTGATGTGTGGTGATGGCATTACTCTTTCGTTTTGGCTCAGTGTGATCCCCGTCTCCCTGTCCCCCTTCCGTTCCCCGCACCTCGTCGTTTCTTTTCTCGCTCAGTTCGCTCTGCTCCGAATGCCCTTTCATTTCACATCTAACCAAATCTGCCCTTCCCGCTCTGGTTTTTGAAGCAGTAATTCCTTCCTTCCCTTCACACCAAGCACCTTGCTTTTGCCCTGCTGATGGGGCCTCTGACACCACCCCTCAGGGCAGCTAACTGCCGGCGCCCGAAGAGCGGTGCATGTCTCTATCACCGCTGCGCCCTCTGCTCTGCCCTGCCTAGCGGTCGCCCACAGCAGCTGTTCAGTGGATGTCGACTGATGAAGGCATGACCGGACAGTTGTTAGTAGTATCCTGTTTCCTCTCAGGTACTGGTTTGTACATTGCTAAGCACATATGACAGGAAAACCAAAATGACAGAAAGGATTGCCTAATTGAGTGGTTCTTCGGGGTGTCCTTATAAATAAAAAGAAGCAAGATGGCATTTGTCAAAGCAAAGTGTTGAATTCAGGCAGCCCCAGGACACCTTCATGTGAGGTCCTTGAGGGCCAGGACCCAGCCGCCGTCTCCCTGTTGTCGTCTCCAGGGGTCTGAGGGTCGCTCAGTCTAACCCGGCTTTCTCGGTGCACTAGTCGCAGCCCGGCCGGGCTCTCTGGGCCTCCCAGGGTGCCGGTGCCCGGATGGGGTGGCATGGGCGGGCAGTCGGGGATCTCTCCAGCCTGACGTCCACTGGGGGTCCCGAGGTGCAGACACCCCGCTTTTGTATGGCTGGGACTGCTCTGACCTCATCTCAACACCAGGCACCCCCAGCCACTGCCTGGAAGCCACCACATCAAGGCAAAGTGCAATTTCCAGTTCAGAGAGAAATCTGTGCCTGCAGATCCGAAGGGGAGCTGACTCCCAGGACAGCCCTCCAGGCCCCAGCGACCTGCCACTCCTCCTGCCAGTGTGCCTCAGAGTCCCCGCGATCCCCGCGGTGCCGGAGGGGAGTCTCCCCCGGCTTGATCGCTGTGCGTTGAGAGAGAGCCTGCCGAGCCGTCTGTCACCCTCTCTGCCATGCGGGCAGCATGGCCCAGGGGCCCGGTGAGCCCAACGCCAGGGACCTTGAGAGGCTCTTTGCTCAGCTCAGCCCAGCCTTCCACCCCGCCCTGCGACCCTCCACCAGCTGCCCTGGCCACTCTACTTCTCATGCTCCCTGGTCACACTGCACGGCCCCATTAGCCGGTCCCGGCGTTGTGCGACACCCGGCGCGCTCCCGGAGCAGTTGCTCGGCAGGGGCACGGGCAGCTGTCTGGCGCGCACGCGCTGGGGGCTCAGGAAGGGCCTGCGGCCACGAGGTGCTGGGCCCTGTGCTCCCGGAGTTCCCAGGTGTGTGCGGCCCGGCACTGGTCCAGGGCGGCAGCGGCTCTGGGCCACCTGCCTGAGAGGGGCACTCTCAGAGCTGGAACTCCCCTGGCCAGCGGGAAATTCAGTCCTCTCGCCGCCTCCTTCCAGATGGTCCCTGAGACTTTTTAGGTTTGCAGACATTGCTTCAAATTCTCTCCCAGATGAAGGAAGTGCCGCTTAGGAGGGGAGGAGGGTGGAGGCTGTCCCCACTCTGTCCCTTCCCGGCCCTTAAAGGAGGTCCCCACGGTCTCTGTGGATCACAGTGGGACTGCTGGACTGCCAGGGAGCCGTGCCAGGCAGCCCCCACACTTCTGTGCTCATTATTTATAAATGTCTTATTTTCAGAATAACTCTTTTTGCACCAGAGTATGTGATGGAGTTGTTTTACTAATCCCTGAAGTTTTGTTTTTTCCTTCAAGTTGGTGGCCACTCTTTCTGGAAAAGCATTAACATGCAGAACCACCATAGCCAACCTCAGCTCTCATTAATGAAGCCCAGAACTAATGGCTACATTGTCGTAACCTGACAAAGCCCCTAAATCTATGCGTGTTTTTTGAAAGCTCCCTAAACATGCAACTAAATCCCCTAAAAAGCTACTGAGCTGCTTTGGCAGCCGTTAGCCCGGAGAAGCAGAGGAACCCTTTTCAGTAAGTGAACAAACAGAGAAAATGTGCTGAATGGCTGGACAAACGCGCCCCGGCTGGCCCTTTCATTGCCCGATGGAAGGGCGCAGTCAGGATCAATCGCTGTTTTCCCCGCCGCCCCGACACTCACAATCTCCCTTTTCATCCCACAAGCGCCTTTCAGCGCAGCCATGTGTCTTTAGAATGACACCGCCATCGGGCTGCTTCCGCTGTCTGAAGTCCAGGGAGCTTAAAAACACACTTCGGGATTCCAGACTGGAACCTGCCTCCCTTCCGGGCCGCCGCCGCCCCTCCCGCCGCGTTCTGCCGCGCTCAGCCTCCCTGGCTGAGTAAACAAGCCACCTCCCGGCTCTGACGCAGCTCCCCAGAGTACACGGAGAGGACCCGATCTGATGCTCCCGAGATTTAACAACTCATTAAAGAGATGCACATAAAGAAATGCTTTTACATGCCGGTAATACATCAAAGGCTGGAAGGAATGTGGCGATTCTGTGCTGTGACCAGGTGTGCTGGTGAGCCGGACGCTCTGGTGCCTCCTTCCCGGCCCCCGCCCCCACTCGCGCACACTCGGCCCTTGTGGCCCTGCGCCGCCGAGGGTGTGCCTGCGCTCTGCGTCCCCCGCAGCTGTGAGCAGGCGTCCCGGCTGCTGCGTGGTGCTGCTCCCTGTTCTGCGTGCTGCGCGCGTTGTTTTGGAATGAAGTAGAATGGTTCCTGAAGATAAGTTGAGCCATGTGCTTGGAGTTGTAGACGTTCTCCCCCGAATATTTGGAATTCAGCATTTCCAAACACCAGCACTGATCACCTTCTCTCTCCTCCCAGGTCATCGCCGTCTGCAGAGAGGCCGCCCTGCTGGCGCTGGAAGAAGACATTCAAGCCAAGTGCATTAGGAGAAGACATTTTACCCGAGCCCTGAGCGCGGTGACGCCCCGGATTCCCGAGTCCCTGAGACGCTTCTATGAAGACTATCGAGAGCAGAGTGGGCTTCACACACTCTAAAAGTATACATATTAGTGCGGTTGAAAATGCTTCCTGGAGAAAACTTGTTTTGTTTTGAAATGTTGTATTGAGAATGTTAAAAAAGAAATCCTTAGGAATCAAAATGTCAAATGTGTTAACTGCAATTAAGGGGCTGCACCTCTTGTAGACATTTTAAATTCTGAGGATACAATGAAAATCTCCGGACAGGAGTTTATTCCGTTTTATCTGGAAATGTGTCCTGAGTTTTAAAATGCAAACTTCTAGCTTTTTTATTTTGGACCTGGTTCCTTTGAACACCAAGCCGGCGGGCTTCAGCTGCGCACAAGAAGAGTGCGTGCGGACGACCACATGGTGGATGGCACTTACAGGTCTCTATTTTGAAGGCCAAACAGTGAAATGGCCAAATGCACCAGTCAAGCTTATGTGGCCTTGTTTCCAAATATGTTTTTGTTCTCAGGATAATTAATACCTGCATTTTTACTTTAGCCATGTTATCCTTATGGTGAAAAGAAAAAAGAACTGAGTCATTTCTTACACTGTAATGCCCTTTGAAAATTTAAATTCACTTATAGTGAACCATACGAAGTATTCATGTTTTAGCTTGTACACATTTTCAGATCACCAGTAAAGTTTTTGGTTAAAAGATATAACGAAATTGTACTCTCAATCTTACCGTCGTATGTTGCATTCTAAATAGCTATATTTATACTCCAGTTATTTTACACTTGGAATTGGTCGACACTTTGATGCTTCATAAATATCCTTGAAATGTTGTGGGACCGTTGATTCCCTGGCTTCCTGGCAATGGAAAGATTGTACCCTCACACCTGGCCACTGCGGATCTTTGAAATTCTCAGACAGGCAAGTCAGGCAAGAAATGCCTGAAGATCAAAATGGGGGGCTCTGCAGTCCTTGGGTGGCAGGTGTTCTGCGGTCACATCTCAACCATTTCACTCTGCAACTCTCAGGAACAGATTTGCAAGGCTTTTCTCCTCAGACTCCGTTGGTTTATTAGTATATAAAACCACCTGAGGGACAAAAAATATTACTACTATTTAGAACTGTGCTGTCAAATATAATAGACACTAGTCACGTGGGACTATTTAAGTTTAAATTTTAATTAACTGAAATTTAGTTCAGCCCTGCCCGGTGTGGCTCAGTGGGTTGTGTGTTGTCCTGCAAAGTGAAAGGCTGTGGGTTTGATTCCCAGCCAGGGCACATGCCTGTGTTGGGGGCCAGGTCACTGATCAGGGGCATGTGAGAGGCAACTGATAGGTGTTTCTCTCACGCATGAACATTCTTCTCTCTATTTTTCTCCCTCCCTTTCCCCTCTCTCTACAAATAAGTAAATAAAATCTTTAAAAAAAAATGTAGTTCATATTCACGTTAGCCACAGTTCAAGTACTCAATAGTCACACGTGACAAGTGCCTGCCATGTTGGACAGGAGAGTGTAGAGCATTTCCACCACTCAGAATCTTCGTGGCCTCTGCTGATTTAGAAAACAAGGCTCACACGCTGAAATAAAACCTCAAAACTACTTTTATGCTTCCCATTCTCCCTTTACTTATTAGAGTAGCATAACTTCTTATAAGTGCTGACGACACAAAATAAAATTCTTCCCAAAGGCCTGAATGTGAAAACTGAAGAAGCCCCATTGCCAAAGATAAAAGCCATAGCAGTAAGCTGGACCCCACCCTGGGGCTCTCGGGCTGCCGCTGGGTGGTGGGGAGGAGAGTGACAGTCTCAGTCAGCGAAGCCACTCACACCCATCGGCCCATATGACGTGGGAAGTTAAACAGCCTCAGACTTCATGCCAACCTATAAAGACCTTCAGTGGAAAAGACGGGGAAAGAAATCCTCCCGCCACCTGGGGGACCTCATGGAGCCTCTCTTGACTTGGTCTGGGCGCGGGAAAGCATGGATCTGAGCTAGAAACATCCTTGGGGTGATGTGCAGTTGTGCCCGTTGGAGGGCTGTGTCCTCAGCCCGTCCACAAGGGTTCCAGCAGCTGAGACCCTGCCCGCAGAGCTTACGATCCCAAAGGAGCTGGAGCAGCGACGGCCCCACCACCTCGGGAAGCAACTAGCATGTCGGAGACCCTGTAACTCAGCAGCTCTCTTCAGTGTGTGTCTCAGGGCAAGTCTGTTCAATGAGGAAACGAGAGAAGAAATTGTGGCACCGTTTGTAAGTGGTACAGACCTGGAAACAACCTACACACCCATCAGTAAGAGAGCGGATTGCGACGAAATGCTCATGCAATGCGGTACTTAGGGCAGCGAAAAATGGAACTGCACGTAAAACAAATGAATCTCAAACACGTTTCAGAAGAATACTTACAATATTTGTTTCACACGTAAAGCATGCAAAATGGCCCATGTTTATGGGGACGTGTAGTAAATGACTGCATGAATGGAAATGAAAAGCACCACGTGCTGGTGGGGAGTTTCCTTGGGAGAGAAAACACTTCCTACTTTAAGCTGGGTAATGAGGGGCAGGTATTGATTCTAGTGCCGTCTGCACTTCTCGTGTGCCTAAGTATTTTCTGATGGATTGAGGGTGAACCGCGCCTGTGGCCATGACTGCGTTCTAACCGAGATCACAGCCCTCTCACTGAGTCCAGTCCCACGTGCTTCCGCTTCAGTGCTCAGTGCTTGCAGCCCCGTGAGTGTGGAAAACCAGGACTGCTGGGTATGATGGAATAAAACGTGAGAAGGCAAGTAAGAGGTCAGGCTTTAGGACCCCAGAAACAAGAGAGATCTCTTGGTAAAAGTGTTTAGGTGACACATGTCCTCCAGAGGGGTGGGAGGAAGGAGTTGGAAGTTGAGAATTTTTTTAAAAGATTTTTAGAACACGACATCTCTAGCCTATTACAAACCAATTATTTTTATATCTTTAGATAGCTAATTATTATCATTTAAAAGGCAGTGGTATTGCTTTATTTGAAGCTTGCGCCCTTCGACAACAGTACCAATAAAAATCTGAATCACATAAAGGGCAGGTCAGGTGTCACTATTAACAGTTCACCCCAGCGTCACCTCTGAGGGTTTTCTGATCCCCGAGTCTCGCATATATGCATTTAAAACAGTGTAGGATCCTATTATTTGGATTTGTTTGTGATTGAATACAGGGTATAGTTCATGGAGAAGTTAACCTCAACAAGGAAAGAAAATTATCTTTTTGGAATCTGGTCAAAAGTTTGACCAACTTTTCAGATTCTTTTCAAGGTTTTGGTGATACTCATATTGATACTTTGTGTGTGTGTGTGTGTCAAGAGACTTCAGTTTGCATAGGGAAATTAATGTTTCCTTCTAACAAAACTTAGAATGGCTTCTAACTTACTTCTTCATGACCAAGAAAGTATATTTATAAGCTTAATACTGACTGCCCTAACTTAGCTTGAAAAATGCTCAATTCTGTGTTATTTCTGATGTGTAAAACAGGTTTTAAAAATACTACATAGGTTTTCCATTTTGGAAACATAATTATTGGATTTATGAGAAAACCAAACTTGAGTCTATGTTGCATTTATCTTAATCAGTAGAAAGCTGCAGAAAAGCTGCTATAAAGATAGAATACAATGACTTCCCTTCCCTGGCCTGTTACTTAAATTCCTGAATGTGAGGCCATTCAAGTCCCGGTTCATTTTGTCATGTTTCCCTGAGTCCATCCTTTATAGACGCGCACACACCAAAGCACCCTTGGAAATTTTATGTGGATGGAATGAACGGTAGTTTCCAAATACGGAAATGCTAAACCCTGGGTTCCCTGGTTTCCTTCCTGCAGTTTTCATGGCAGCCATGTGCACGTGCAGGCTTTTTACCTGATGTCTCCATCAGGCACACCCCCAACAGCCTGTACCTTTGGGGGCTCCCTTTAGGGAGCAGGACTCACCCCAGCAAATTTAAGCGGGAGAGATGTGACAAGGTTTGACATGGTTGCAGAATCACTGGGAAATGACGGACTCTCCTTTCATACGTAATGATAAACACTTCTGGAAAGATGGTTAGCGTGTCCACACGTACACATCACACACAGTGAAACCCCAGGAAGTGAGAAGAAAGAAAATCGAGTTAATCTACACTGAAATTAGGGACCAGATGGTAAACGTTTCAAAGGCTATCTGTCAGGTACAACACATTTGGACCAACTTAAAAAGAATCCAGGAAGTTCAACGCATACTCTGCTGAGAGTACATATGCTATGAGAGGAAATGCCTTATTGGGTCCAAGACGCCATCAATGGTAAGGCTATTAATTTAAAAACATCATTTTTTAGGGAAAAAAAGAAAGATAAAGCACTGTGATTTGACTATTATTACATCCTGATTTCAGAAACATTAAAATATTAAAAACAGACATACTAAAAATCAGTCAAATAACAGTTAAGCGAGAAGGGAGCAGATCACAGCAATTAAAATACTATTTGCAGCCAACACGGTCACGACGATGAGCACGCTGACAGGTGAACAGAGGGGGAGGAAGGGCGTGCAGACTGACATGCCGCAGACGGCGGCAGGCGCTGTGCCAGGGATCTCAGCCGAGGTAGGAGGGGCAGAAACAGCACGAGCCCAAAAACAGAGCTGCTGTGCCTGAAGGGAGACAGCTTCTGAGGAAAGAAGAAAACGCTAGAATTCAACCGCTTTGAAGGTTCAAAAAATGTTAAGACAACCCGCCGATGTGACTCAGGAGACAATAAAACAATTGAATAAGATTCAGAAAGAACAGAGCTCAGGAAATGGATTTATTTATAATATATCCCACTGATACACTCCCACAGAATGGCATATTACTTACCATTCAAAGGTAATCATTACAATCTCATTTGTTCCAATAGCAAAACTATTAGAACAACTCAAATACTTATCAACAGGGAGTATTTAGTAAGTTATGGTACACCCATACAATGGAACATTATAATGCTGTAAAAAATGATAGAGAAGCTCTTTATAAACTGATGTAGAAATTATCTTCAATATATAGAGAATCCAAGTAACCTAGATACATGCTTATATGCTACAAACACAAAATGTACATTGTTTCATGCTCCCATTGTATAATCTATATAATTATTAATGGGGTGCACACACACACACACACACTATATATATATATATATTATATATATATAAATATATATATATATTGCAAAAGCAGAAAGGATGCACAATGTGCTCTGTAACCACCATGTAATAAAACTAAAGAAATGTGGAAACAACAATAAAAAAAATTAGATGTTCTAAATTCACTTTGATATTATACTTCGATCAAAGAGGAAATAAAAATAGTAAAATATCTGGAAGATAATAATGAAAATATCAAAATCCATGAGATGCAATTAATACTCTGCAAAGAGAGTAATTTATAGACCTAAACACTTCTATTAGTTGAATAAGATTAACCAAATTAAGCACTGTTCTCAAAAAATTATTATAAAGAACTCCAAAATTAACTTCAGGAAAATACACAAGAGTGAGCTGAAATTCACAACAGTACCACCACCACTGAGGACAAACGTGTGATCCAACAGCTCGCTCTTTGGAGAACAAAATCCAAAACCGAATAATCAGTCACACAATGTTCATGTCCTCATCCCCAGAAACTGTGGATTTAATGTTACACCTCACGTGGCCAACGGGAC